AAAAACGCTCTAAAAAGTCTTTACACAACCTTGACAATTAAAAAAAAAATCTGTCCTAATAAATCTTCGCACAACGATAATTATTTAAAAAAAATCACTTTAATAATGTATTTTTCACAATCATAAAATATAGATATGACGCAATCATAAAATACAGAGATTCTATAAAATTACTAATTTATCTATAACGATCATAGTAAAAAATAAAAATAAATAATAAACATCTTTAACATTATTACCATTTAATGAATATTATATTTTCACAAAATCGATAAAATAGCATAATGTCAATAAATTATATTTATATTTGGAATTATCATTGATAATACTAACATTAGAAATATTTATTTTTAATACAGTAATACATAGATAGATCTTGAATATTATTATTGAGTTGTATACAAAATAAGTTTTTATAAAAAAAATTATTTAATCATGAATTATAAGAGAAACAATTAACTTTTTTTATCTATCGAGATTCAAATTATGCAAAAGTATGCATATCAATATATAGTTAGTTTTGTACAGTCAACCCCCCTCTATAATCACACGTTTTGTTTACTTAATAACTTTTTTAAAAAATGTGCTTATAAAGAGGTTGTGCTTATATAGAGGTGGTTTTTTATATGTTTAATAGTAATTTGTTTTTGAGTATAGAATGTGATAAAGAGGGGTTTTTATATGATGTGATTATAAAGGGGGTGACTGTAGAGGGGGATGACTGAATAATAAAATTCTTTTATTTCATGTACAGTGTCAATCGATACGTCATTCCATTTATGTGAAAGACCGTGTTTATATAAATTTTGATATTTTTTTTTATTTTAAATATCTTAATGATTATGTCATTTTTTAATATTATTTATTAATAAAATTTTAAGCACATTGAAAATTATTGCATTTTCCACTACAACAATGTGAAGCTACAACACAATCAACCTTACTTGGATGACAGCATTTACCGTTAATACATTTCCATTGCAACAGTCTGAAGCTTTTTGACATGGTCTTCCAAAATCTCGACAAGTTACACAGTAACCATAATCACAAACGCCTTTACAGCAATCTGTATCACTAGAACACTGTTCATTAATTGCTTTACAAGGAATACATACACCATTGTAACAAAAAACTCCATTACAACAAATTTGATTCTTATTGCATGAACCGCCCAAAGGTTGACAAGTTGGTGTGGAGTTGAGGCACAATTTAATTTTCCACATCGTGCACAAGAATTACGGTAGCCATATTCACAGCCTCCGCCTTGAGGGTTGCATTGTAACATGAGTAGAATTGCATGATCCTATAAAAAAATCATATATATAAGTATATTCATATTCAGATAAAATTTAATCAGAAATTTTATTCATTACATACCAGTCATACCAGAATAGCCACCACAGTATTGACCTTGTGGAAGTGCATTCGGGGCTGTGGACATTTACATTTTGTAGTATAATCACAAGCAGACAAGATGACAGGAACAAAAAAATAATATAACAATGCAAAGTGCAAGATTTTGGATTGCCACTAAAAAAAAAAATAATAAATTAAATATCTTTATAATAATGATTTGAAATGAAGACCAAAAATAAGACATACTTTTATAAAATGATAAAAAATGGTATGAGTCGAGGCTAATTATAAAATTATTTTATATATATTCTTTTAAATAATAAACATTGAAAATTTCGGATTTGATTATGTAATTGTAATCCAGGAATGCTAGATCTATTGAAAGAATATTGTCAGCAAAAATCCACCATGACTGAATGAAATTAATAATAACTCGAGTAAGTATCAAAAACCTATAGATGCTAAAGCATATATTTTCATCAGATGAGTATAACAAAGTTTGTTTATCGATACACATTCTGCCGATAAATTTTAAAAATGGATAAATTATTTTTCAAAGAAAGTACGTAATACAGTTGTTAATGTTTTTTTTAAGTCATGCTATAACAACTCCCACGCAAGTACGTATGTACTGTACGAACGAAATATAAACACAGACCAGTGTGTACCCGTCGCTTGCGCTGACAGTCCTTAAAGATTTTTAAATACAATATTTTAATAATTTTTATAATAAAGCATCTTTCACTATAACAAATATGTATATTTACTAAACAATATATTAAAATAATATATTGAAATAATAGATAATATTTTTCAAATAACGCTTTAGGCATTAATTTAAATAACGATAAAAAATCTAACTAGATAAATGAGTTAGTTGTGCAAAACACCCATTGCATTCAAATATGTTTGTGATACAGGAAGTTTGTATCTTTGCTTGACAAACAGTCATGACTTATCGTTATATGCGATTTAAAAAATACTTTTATCCGATAATCAGTATATATTTAGATTATAAAATTTTTTGAAATAAACCCTTTGTCAAAAGATAAAGTCTCGAATAAACATCATTATGTTCTAAAGATATGAGTCTTTTTCTTATTACAAGTGCAAATATGTACAAGTCAAGAACAAGAATAATTGCGTATGAGGCTATGTAAAACGTTTCAATTTTGAAAAAACTTATAATATTAGACAAAAAGCAATTTAGCAAGCTACGTTTCATCATGTTAAGAGAGTTGTTCTAGGGCATTAGTGATACAATTTACAGTTATGAAAGTAAAAATCTTTATTCTGGTAATACAATTTGAATATGTATAAATAAAATCGAAATACTACGGGTAATACGTCAAAAATGGTTTGGATAATAAATAATTAGAGCTGTAATTCTTTGAATTGACTCAAAATGAATATTTTAAATGATTTTAAACTGTTTAGGTCAACTCGTTCGGTTGAACCGTTCTGTTTCAGAGCATTTAGACTAATTCTTATTATATTAATTATTATTATTATTTTATTATACTTCATCTATTCTCTTCGAAGTGTACGATATGATTATTATCATTCGGATTTATCCAGTTCTGTAAGCAATCCACCAACTTTAATATTTCCAGGTACTGTATTATATATTTAATATATAAACATTAAATGTATGCATGATTAATAACACATAATTTCTAGATTTTTCAATATGTCCCACAGGTATAGCGTTTTAGAAAATTTTATTTTCTTAAAAAGATTTAACTAATTAATTCTTTAAGATTTAAGCAAAGATTTAAACATCAATAATTATAACATAAATAATCCATATGACCCGAGTGAAATTTATACTTATTATTCAGAGCTTAAGATTTCTAACATTACATGTAATGCACCTGTTGATGAATTGATGAAACCATGCAATGATAATATTAATTTAACTAGTGGTGGCTGTTGGGCTTTTTCACCGTTTAA